CAATCAACTAATTTTCTCTTCACTGATAAATCAAGTTCTTTATTATCAACCATGGTCACTATTTCCTTAGGCAAATTACTGCAGTCGGCAAACCCATGGCAACGCACCAACAATTAGAAAAAGTTCCAGATCCTGCTTCTATTCAGCATATCTGCCTATTGTTGGGTTTTCTTCTTCAGGAGGAGGATAGCAAAGCAAATCAAGGAAAATATGAATAAGGATATGCCAACGGAAGAAGAGACCGCTCCCTTCAATGTTTTCGCATCCATAAAAATTAAAAGAATTGGGAAAAAACAAAAGAAAAAGAGTAAGGGAGTGTTTGGGGTTGCTTAAAAAAAGCGTTTTTCATCTTTTGGCTTAAAAAAGCTAAAAAGAGTGTTTTCAAATGACAACTTCTGCTTAAATTAATCACTTAAAAGCTAAAAGCTAGAAGCAGGTAGAATGGTGCTTTAAACTGATTCTCACTTTTTCTATTACACAAAAAGTACTTATTTTACCAAACGCTACCAACTTTTACTTTTTCAGAATCACTTTTTTCTCAAACACTATCAACTTTTACTATTAATCACTTTTCCCAAAATCATTTTAAAAAATCACTTTTTTAAAGTTGAAGCAATTGCAAACACTCCCTAAGATCGAAAGGGGAGGAGAATTGGAAGGGGAGAAAAGCAAAAGGGGGAAATAAAGCTATTTTTTATTTCGTATTATTCAAATTAAATTAAAATGTTTATTTTAATTTAAATTATTTTTCATGTAGTTTTATTTATCAATTTCTAAATTTTAAAGATTTTTACTTTGTTAGTAAATGTATGTAATATTGTTTTTATAAGCAATACCTAAAAATCAAATAAAATAGTAATGTCCTTATATGTCTTTTTACTCCCAAACAACTATTCTTAAACAACTAATTTACCAAACACGTACCGGCAACAAGCTAACACAATCAGCCAACTAAAACAGCTGACACAACCAGCTATTGTCAATCAGCTGTTATAACCAGCTAACAGCTAACAGCCGATTGCCAAACAATGCCATTGTTTGTAGTAGTAACATTCTATAACCTTTGCCATAGACAAAAAATGTATGTTCAGAGACACTGGTTTTCTTTCAGCGTCTTTGTACACAGACAAAAAATGTTAAAAAAGTCAGGGTGAGATTGCACTGAAACAAATGATTGTGTACACGGACAAAATTTGTATATGTACAAACACTTTTTGTCTACACAGACAACTAATATATATGTACACTGACACTGGTTTCTGTGCAACTACCCTGACAGATTAGCAAAAAGTTACATCAATTAGCAAACTATTTTTTCACACAAACAATTTTGTGGAAAGTGTTTGTATTTGTACTTTTTTGTCTGCGTGAATGGCAAAGAAAGAGGTAATTCAGGGTGTACACCAAGAATGGTTGTTTTTTCTTTATTTCAAGAATTATCAATTTCTTTTCAAAATTGACACGATTGAATACTGAAAAGCATTAAAGAGAATGGTAGTTTGATTAAAACATATCCTAAATAGGACTAAATTATTTTTGAAAATCCTTTTGAATCAATATCACATTTTCAAGACACAAAGAAAATAGCATATAAAATATCACAAAGATTTAATTAAAAGAGAATTAAATACATTTAAATACATTTAAAAACAAATTCAGATTTAAAGAAAACGGAACAAGTGCATGTTTATTGCAATAAAATAAGTGGTAGCAAGAACGAACACTAGCTAGTATTCTAAAGAAAATACTCCGTATATGATTATTTGAAATTTGAATTACAAAAGCACAAGGACTAGGGGTGGGCAAACGGGGTCTAGAACCGCGATCCGGTCTGGGTAATGGCGGTTCGGGTCCAAAACGTGCCGGTTCCAATTTTTGTTGCTAGAAAACGGACCGGGTAGGGTCGGGTAATTTTTTTAATGACCCGGGCCGGTTCTAATATAAAAAATTGTCGGGTACCCGTCCCGGCCCGTTATATATACTGTGTAGTAATTTACAACTAATACATGCCTCGTGGTGAATAAATTATTTGTGAAGTTCATTTTTGTGTGTGGTGATGAAGTTAATTTTTTTCTACTTTCACTAATTTAACTAGTTGGGAAAACTATCAAATAAGCCCCTGTACTATGTTGAAAAAGTCAATTAGGCCATCGTACTTTACAAACACTCAATCAAGTCCTCGAACTATTAAAAAATGTTCAATTAAGCCCTTTTGGTCGGTCAGTAACCGGTTTCCCAGTTAAACGGCGACGATGGCAACGATGTGCTCGAACCCCAGCAACGGTGGCTGCTGGGAAACGGGTTACATTTAACCGGGAAACCGGTTACTTACCGACCGAAAGGGCTTAATTGAACATTTTTTAATAGTTCGAGGACTTAATTGAGTGTTTGTAAAGTACGAGGGTCTAATCGACTTTTTCGGTATAGTATGGGGGCTTATTTGATAGTTTTCCCTAACTAGTTTCACTAGTTTAAGTACTTTCCTAAGTTTGTAGGAATAGATAACCTCTTGGGAGTAGGAAACAATAAGACTTCTACAACAATGACAAATTGATAATTATATTCTAGTACAATTACAACTATAATCTTTACTAAAATTATTATTCTAGTAAAATTGTGATAATTATATTACTAATTTAAGAAACTTCACATTATGTGCTTTTCGGGTATTGGAGTAGCCATGGAAGTTATGTTTTTGTGTCCCGGGAATTGTTAACGCTGGCAATGTATTTAAAATTTTCTATATTTGAGTTTTGGAGTATTTTTAAGCTAGTAATGAATATTAATTGTAATGTTGTTACTTTCGTGTTGTAATTTGGGACTTAAAGGTTAACTATGTTGTTATTTTGATGTCATTTAGGACTTTTTGAATTTACTATGTTGTTATTATGGACCTTTGAAGTTGTGATTTGGGAACTTAAGAGTGGTTATGTTACTGATTTTTGGAACTTCTTTAAATGTTTGGAACTTAAATACATGAAGCTAGGACATGTCACTTGTGTTAAATGTGCACGTTGTTGAGTATGTTGTTATTTGAAATTTTCCAATGCTCTATATTATTGATTTTTGGAATTTGTATGTTGTTACCATTTTTAAGACATACAAACAGGAACTGAAAAACCCGAACGGGATCAACCCGTTTCAAACGGGTCGGCTAAGGTCCGGTCCCTATATTCAAAATTGCAATACTTGGAACTGACGGTTCCATTTTATTTGACATTACCCGGCCCGCGTCCAGCCCTACAAAGGACAAGAATATATTGGTGAAAAGAAAATATGATTATTCCAAAAACACTAGTATAAAAGGGCTCATCAGCTCATGACAAAAGAATAATAAAAATATAATTTGGATCGCAAACCTAGGGGAACACAAGAGCTCCGCCGTCTGTGGGAATCGAACCCACGACCACGTGGTTAAAAGCCACGCGCTCTACCAGCTGAGCTAAGACGGCAACTTGTTTGGTTGGTGGTAAGAATAATCTAAACCCATTACTATAGGGTACAAAATGACGGAACAGGCACAGAAACAGCAAGTAAAATTCTTTTTACCCAAAAATATTACTCCGTATGATAAAATGCTTTCCCGCTAAAAGGTTAACACCGTAATTATGGTAGAAATAGGGCACTATATAGTCGTTACCCAGGTGGCCAGGTTAATGACTCTTGATTTTTATTATGTATGCGAACCTTTAATTTATTTGTAATTGAAAATTACATAAAATCTCGTATGCTTGAAATAATTGGAATATATTTATATTTACCATATTAAATAAAATTTTAACCTAATTAAAAATGATATATCTAACCTTTTAAGTCACATAATGGGCAAAATACATAATATGACTAAAAGTAATAATAATTTCCAAAATATAACCATGCATGATTCTTTTCCAATATATGATAAGACACAAATAGAACAAGATCAGAAAAAGAAAGGGAAAATGGAAACTAATAATCCAACCTTTTAGCGGTCTTCTTTCAATAATCCCACCTTTTGATTATTCATGAATAATCCAACTTTTGCACCTCATCTTCATTCATTGGTCCCTGGTCGGTTAATGACCTACTATTCCAAGTTATTTTCTTATCTTTGCAAAATATTATCTTTGTGAAAGATGAGATTTATGGTATAATGATTTGCAAAGATAAAAAAATAGTTTCGTATAGCACGTCATCAACCGGTCAGAGACTAGTGAATGGAGATGGGGTGCAAAGGTTGGATTATTCATGAATAACCAAAATGTTGGATTATTGTACGAAGACCGCTAAAAGGTTGGATTATTATTTTCCATTTTCCCAAAAAGAAAAGGTAAAATGGTATTCATACATGCCATATGCCATCTAATGGGGGGGGGGGGGGTAACATGTACAATGTCGTAAGTGCGCATGTAGTATCAAGTTTCCTTAACTTATTCTTATGAGACATGAGACATGAGTAATAAACAATGTGTATTTAATGGACTTTGAAATATGAACATCTAGTACCATTCAAGTTTCCACAACTTATTCTTATGAGTTATGATCAAGTGCAATTTGCAATAACTTATATTGCTAAAATTGAGAAGGGCTAACTCAATATGGAATTCTAAAAATTACTATCGCATTTGATAAGAATCATCAAAATAAAAAAAGTTACTATTCTCCAAACCTGCAATGAGGCTACTATAACACACAGACTTGAAACACTTGTTGTCTTGTGGACATCTTAAGCTAGTTGTCGACATGTTTCATGTTACCTCAACACTTTATCCCCCACTTAACTCTAGATCATCTAGTTTTTCTTATTTTACTTCATTTACCCTTTCCCTGCGCCCACAAGCACAAGCCACCTCTGAACACCGCTACCAGTCACCTGCCCACAAATTCCACAATCCCACCCTGGTGCCACCGCCAGTGCTTTGGGTGGAAATTCAACTTACTATTCAAACAGATCCGTTTTGTGTTGGTAACTGTCATTACCTCCAACCTTTTGTCATGTTATTTTTATGTAGTTCCAAACCTATTTGAACAGACCATTTCATTGGACAATAATTTCAGTGAAAACATACATGGATACACAACTGTTGCGCAATGTAATTCTTTCCAATGTAACCAAACATTTTTCAAACCCATAGACAAAACAAATCTAGGAGCGCTTCTACAAATTTTACAGTAAACTAAGACCATGAACGTGCATGGTGAAAAAGAATCAACCATTATTTTAGTGTGTGCATTGAGGATAGTCGATATACAAAAAAACATCTCTTTTGTTGTATTACATGCGAAGAACAAGAGAAACTCATGACCGCGTTTGTAGACAAAAGAATTATTTGAATAAGAGAATAGCCAATCACACCATCAGAATGGATTACTTAATTGGATCTGACTGCAAGGCTTTCTGCACTATCTCAGTCTGCTCTTTAACATGAACCTGATAGAAACCAGTGGCCGTGGCGGCCGAGGGAGCACGGCCGACATAATTGATGTCTTCCATATTACCTCTCCCAAGGGCTCTCATTGCTGTATAAAGGCGGGGTGTGATGTAATGATATGCCCCCATGTTCATAGGCTCTTCCTGGCACCATACAATCTCTGCATCTGAAATGAAGACATTAAACTAATTAATATATTGCACTAAGATAAGTGGCAATCCCACAAGTAAAACTACGCAAATTCTAATGTCTTGTTTGTTAAGGATAACAAGTGGAAGTTGTTGAATTGGCTAATATTGCCACAATGGCATTTGAATTGACTGAGAGGGTGTTTGGATTTGATTCTCAAAACTGATTCTGCTCCTTCATGGAGCAGAAGCAGAAGCTGGAGTGTTTGGGTGAAATTTCAGAAGCACTTCTGGAGCCCTAATTTACTCTCAGAATCAGTTTTTTTAGAAGCTGGGAGGTACCAGCTTCTGAAAACTGATTCTGATTCTGCTTCTGCTTTTAAAAAAGAAGCAGAAGCATAATCAGTTCCAAACAACCCCTGAAGTGGCTAAAGGGTTGAAAATGAGGCCACAAGTCTGGCAGCTCAAAATTGTCCGCTTCAACGGTTGAATCTATGGTCACCCGAAGAATGTGTGTCTTGATGGAGAAAAATAAACTTTAGAAACAGCGAGACTGAATTGATAGGACCCGATCTTAGAAGGGTGTGGCACACGGAAGTTAATTTCCAATGCAGTCAAATTAGTGTATGGTAGAAAATCTGAGGTGGATAGTAGTATAGTACTACAAAAATTCCCACCAAACAGGCCCTAAATAGCACAGAGAAAACTTTTTATATATAAGGCAGTTCAAAAGGTGGTGGGAAACAAACTTGGATATCGCTTCAATTCGCGTTGGACCAGGTCATATGGGAAAGGACAAAGTTGTTCAACCCTACAAATAGCAACGTCTTTTCCACCAGCCTTCCTTCTCTCCTCATCAAGCTCGTAATACACCTGCAAATATATGTACAACAAACGAAACTTAAGTTTATAAACACACACACTCAGACACACATATATATCATAAAAGTGTAAGCTAACCAAAATTTCTCAAGACATCTCCACAAACTTCAACAAATTAATTAGGAGTCGAATGAGCCAGCGTGGCTTGGAAACGTTCAATTACAAAGACCTTTTAAATGAATACACGTACTTTACATTAAAGAGAAGCATTTGCAAGGAAATAAATAAGGTGCTTTTGATTCTTAAAAGGCGGTTTTTGTGCTTCTTTTGAGAAAGTGCGGGATTGGACCTTTTTTAGTAAACCACCTTTAGTGCTTAAATGAGTGTGTGCGCGCGCGTGAGCGTAATCAAAATGAAGTTTCCCCATATTGTCCGGAAATCTCATCAAACTTCAACAATTAATTAGGAAGCATATAAATAAATTTTCTAATGTTAATAAGCAGATATAACATAGAGAGAGGCTAGAATCAAAACATTACATACCTTTCCTGAGCAAAGAATGAGACGCCGAATACCCTCTTCCAGATCTGAATGGTCATTCTGGTCTTTTATAAGGCGCTTAAACCGGGTGCCTTGTTTGTCAAAACCAGGGTGCCCTTGAACATCATCAAACTCTGATAGATTTGACTTGCATTCCTTGTGACGAAGCAAGTTCTTTGGAGACATCACGATAAGTGGTTTACGGAATTCCCTGTGAATCTGAAAAAGCCAATACATTATCAGGAATTGGAGGGACCCTTAAAAGCAGGTCCAAAGAGTTCTTATACAATTTTAGGGTCCATATGGATGTAGGTTTTTTGGGGGGTGTTATGGAAGGGAGACTTCAGTCTATATCTTGAAATTTCACTTCCTCTGACCTCTATTAACTTTTCTACTTTCCTTTCTGGGGTGTCCAATTTTTTTCCCTCTTTAAGTAAAAAATATGTGATGAAAATTCTTTCAATCCTTTCTATTTAAAGCTCAACCACATTATATTCATTTCTCAAGCTCAGCGCCAAGTCAAACCCATAATACAAATTCATGACGGTGAGCAATTTGAGATTTATAAAAGTTGAAAGGAATGGCATACTATGTGATCATATAACATTTGAATCACAATTTAGTTGCTCCTAGGAAATTATATTTTCAACATACAGAGCCCTTCAAAGCCTTCCAAGTTTCCCTTCAAAACCTTCCATCCGAACAGACCCTTAGTCTCCACTTACTTGTCGTCTCAGTACATGGAAATAGTTGGCAGGAGTAGTAACATTGACAACTTGCCAATTGCACTCCTGAATCTGCTTTCGTAGAGTTGGTTCCATCTCAGGGATAATGTATGGATTATCATCACTCATCTGCCAAATGTATAGTATAAAAGTAACTCTTGTCAAAGTACTTGAACGAATACAGGTATTACTATGCCAAAATGTTAAAAACAGGGGAGTAAAAACGAGATGAAAACAAGCCATAATTTCTTTAGCATGTCCATTAAGTTTCTTACTACTAAATGCAATAACCTCCCCACAAGATCACGGAATTAATTTTAAAATGCCGCACACAAGCCCTCTCCCTATATGTAGATCTATGAAACTAGAAGTCATAGGCATTAACTAACTATGGCTACCATTTACATAGTAGCATTATGTACGAAATAGTAACTATTATTTGTTCATGAGCAAAAATTAGGCAAATAATCAAAACAGAAGGCTACAACTAGTCTTTTGAACTCCCACTGTTCAAAACAGGTCTTGTTTAAGAACATTTTGTTAAAAAAAACTTATTTGAACAAAAGAATCTAATTTTCATTATATACGAAGTATATTTTTTTTGACTGGTAATTTTCATTATATTGAACATATTTTTCAAACCAAGTGTTTCAATCATGTCAATTACATTAAATTAGTTAAACCAACATATAAACTTTTAGTATACAGCTAGAAGTGATTATTTTCATTTGTTGTGCACTTGCACCCTACTAAAATTAAAAGGTTGAATCTTCCCAGAACATGACTTTTTTAGGAGATGGAGATACTAAATGTGAAGAAAAAGGAACATTATGGTTTTGGTTCCTCAATTATTCGACACTAGACACTTCAGCCCATCATAACAGACAATAGCATAATTAGCCCCCTACTTAGTCCCAAAATATGTGCTTTTAGTCATGTATTGTTAACAGTTTAACACACTTCATAAATACGTCATACAAACTGACTAAAAAAAATTGCTAATTCAGAAAAGGCAATATGAAATAAAAGGATGCTATGCTCCATTGAACTCTCCGGGAAAGAGAAGAAATGTGCAAAAATGGAAATACCTGAAGAAAACGTTCCATGCGTGCACTGGAATGCTCGGGGCCTTGGCCATCATAACCATGGGGTAAAAGCACAACTAACCCTGTCTGGCGGAGCCACTTGGCCTCTCCACTGCTCAAAAATTGGTCAAACATAACTTGAGCTCCATTGGAAAAATCACCAAATTGGGCTTCCCAGAGCACCAATGAATTCGGATTTTCCATAGAATACCCCAATTCGAATCCCAGGACACCAAACTCTGAAAGAGAGCTGTTCGGAAAACAAAATAGATACCAAGCATCAGATCACTTGATTTTACTATTGTGAATCAGCATAAACAGATACCGAGATACTAATAAAAATTGAAAAAGACAAAAACAAGACCTAAATTTTCGTGTGTGTATTGAGTCAATGATATCAATAGAAGTTTGAGTACAAAAACAAAAAGCCCAAATAATATGTATCTAGGCATTCTCAAAGAATAGAATATGCAGTCATTACAAGAACAATAAATCTCAATGTCTATAGTAGCCATGAATTTGTGGCTAGAGACTAGGGAGTAGCATTTGTGTAATATTAGGCAACGATGAGGTTTACTACATTGCAGTAAATGATGTTTGAATGCACTCTGGTTTACAAGAATGCCACCCAAAACACACGGTTTGACTCTCCATCCATTCAGTAACAATATTGTGTATCCAATCTAAAGAAGAATACTCTTATGCAGCACCTACAAGTTTGGTGTAATATTCAACTTGATAATGAATTAGCACAATAAAATGCAACCAGACTTGCCTGTTGCTTACTGTAAACATTTCTTCATTTTGGTTCATCATGACATGATCCAGAGGGCAGTACTTCTCACCTGTCTCTTGATCATGGAGAACAGAATGTCTGTGGCTAAAAGTACCTCTTTCAACATCCTGACCACTCAGCCTTACATGATTGCCTTCCACAAGTAGCGTAGCAAAAGCAAGTGCTTCTCCTAATGCCCAGTCAACCCCTTCTCCTGTTTCAATCATCTTCTTGCGGTCATCAAAAATCCTTTTCACTGCTCTATGTGGCTTAAAATTCTCTGGAAGGGTGGTGATTGCTTTTCCAACATTTTTCAGGATCTCTGGTTTTACACTATGAACAAGCGTGTATAATGAGCCTCAAATTGCAGTCTCAAAGACTGGTTAATCAACAAAAAATAATTATCATGCAAATTGGTGCAAAAAGTAAAACTAAATCAATTAGGGAAAAGGCACTGGTATCCTTTAAGTTGGGAAAGGAATACCCCATATTTGGACAAGGGACCTTCTCATTTTAATGGACAATTGGCAATTGATAAATACTTATCAACAAAGTAGAAAACATACCCTGTATTTCGCATACGTGAAAGCTGTTCAGGAGACTTGAAACCAGACCAAAATGCTGAAAGCCAGTCTCTCTTTTGAGTGACATAATCTTTACTAGCAACAAATTCCTCATTAAGGATTGAATTAATCTTGTTCTGTATCTTCTCAATACCCTCCTTGCTCACTGTGCCAGACCCTAGAAGTTTTTCTTGGTAGATCTCTAAAGCCGAAGGATGGCTTCGAATAACCTAATAAAAACACTCAAAGATAACATTAGTCATTAGACTTCTTCCACTGATTGATGATAAAACTAGTTATAATAAAAAAACAGAAGCTAGACTCTAATGCTCGCAGTAGTCTGCATTACAGCCCGTCGAAAAGAATAATCCATTTAATGTAGACTACGAATAATTACTCCACAAAAATGTGTGAAAACTAACCTTGTACATTTTTGGTTGGGTAAAAAATGGTTCATCAATTTCATTATGTCCGAATCGCCGATAGCAGACGATATCAACGACAACATCTGAATGAAACGTTTGACGCCACTCTGCAGCAAGTTCACAAACATGAGCTACAGCCTCAACGTCGTCACCATTGACGTGAAAAATTGGGGCACTCAAGGCTTTGGCAACATCAGTGCAGTATTGGGACGATCTGCCTGACATCGGATCAGTAGTGAAGGCCACTTGGTTATTGACAACAATGTGTATGGTCCCACCCGTTGTGTAGTTTGGCAGAGCACTGAGATGCAACGTCTCATAGACAACACCTTGCCCTGCAAAGCTGCCATCACCATGAACCAAAATGCCCAAGTTCTTTGTCCTATCAACATCGTTACTATAGTATTGCTTTGCTCTAGTCTTCCCAACCACAACCGGGTCCACAGCTTCCAAGTGGCTTGGGTTAGCAACCAATGATAGGTGAATTCTCTTTCCACCTCTGGTTGGACGGTCATAAGAAGTACCCAAGTGATACTTCACATCACCAGTTCCCACATAACCAGCTTCATCAACAGGCTTTGTACCACCACTGAACTCATTAAATATGTGTCGAAGGGGCTTTCTGACGACGTTACCTAAAACGTTTAACCTTCCTCTATGTGACATCCCAATGACAATGCTTTCTACACCTAAATCTGCTGCCCTGTCAAACATCTCCTTCATTCCAGGAATCAGCGTTTCACACCCTTCCAGGCCAAACCTCTTTGCAGCTGTCCACTTCGTAGCCAAGAAGTTCTCGAACAAAGTACTCCACATCAGCCTATCAAGCATGACCTCCCGTCGCTCACGATTGTATTCCACTGTTGTTTGAGTCTCAATCTTGTCCCTCAGCCAATTGCATTTCTCACGATCAGGAATGTGCATGTACTCATAACCAATGCTTCCACAATAAGATTGTTCAAGCCGTGTCAATATAGCTCTCAAGGTTTGCACGGGGCGGTTTTCAGACAAGAAGCCAGACATGCTCCAAACACCAAGAAAGAATTCACGGTCAAGATCAGCTTCAGTGAACCCATACGAAGCAGGATCCAAGTCGTCTGGAATTTGCCTCACCTCTAGGCTCAATGGGTCCAGTTTAGCTTTCATGTGACCATTGACCTGATAAGCTCGTACGAGCAATAATAGATTCATGCTCTCTTGAATGGTCTGGCCCGAAATCCCAGGGGATGTGGTGGCCTGACCAACAAAATTCCTGAAGAAGTTATCCCATGACTCATCCACACTGTTTGGATCTTGCTCCCAAGCCCGCTGAAGCTCCTCAAGATACACACTGCTTGTCCCATCTAAGAAGTTATCAGTCAACTTGGAGAGAGGTACGGGTCTAGGCACAGTAGCAGGTTGGGCCTTTGGCCTGAGAGAAGATGAATGAAAGTATCTATTATGCTGTGAAAGGACACGAGTCTCAGGTATAAGTGAACAGCTTTGGGATAAAGCTCTCCTAACAGCAAACTTTGCCAGGCTTGAGCCAGCTCTCAGCCACACCATTCTAATCAGTATTCAATTAACTTTCAGCAATAAACTTCTCGACCAAATACCAATGTTCTCAACAGAGTTTCAGCACCAGCAAACTCACATTATTTCTCCATTAAAACCTAGATAAGAATATCACATGAAAATTAAGATTCCAAACATATCCAGAATAATTTTATAATGATCTGCTAAACAAAACTAGTTAATTAAAATGCAGAAAAGTGCCAGAAAGTATCACAACTAACTGGGTAGTACACAGAAGAAACAGTTTCACTATCTTCCGACAAACCTTGTGTCCATAAAACCACTAGTCATTTCTCTATATCAGCATAGCAATTGTAGTAAAGTGAAAACAGATATATCAATCAAGTCTGTAACTCTTTACAGAAGTTATATCAAATAGTAATAAAGTGGATAAATAAAGTTCGCAATAACGCGGAAGTGCTCAAACTCAGAAACTCTACCAATAAATGAAAACTTTAAAATCTGGAGTGGTAGAACACACCATTCAATAAAACTTATGCCAACAAACTGTCGTTGTACATCAATGCCAACCGTAACATATCAAAAGCCAAAACAAATTTACAGATTTAAAATCAAAATATGAGATCAACTTCCAAGCAAACTCCGAAATGAAGGCCTGCGAGAAGCGCAAAATACCAAATTCTTGTAACTCATCGAAGAAATGCTAAAGATTGAACCTTTTAGATATTAAAGAAGCGAATACGGCCGCCCATGTAGGTTTTGAATCTGGGAAAATATACACCATTCAAAAGCCGGGTTGAATGATAACCCCGAAAAGTGTATACCTAAGGATAGCGGATTATATTTATGGATAAAAAAAGATCAAGAAAAGACAAAAAGTAATGGTACCTGAGAAGAGAAGAGGCTACGAATCTGCGACACGAATGGGAAGGGTGTCCGACGGTGAGGTGAAAGGAGATTGCGAAATTGGGTTTGGGTCTGAGACTGTCAGAAGAACAGGACGGGGGAACCTACCTCGGGGACGACCGGGTCAGGAGTCAGCGGACCCATTAGGTCAACCCGGATAACTTCAAAAAAACTCGGTCAAAATTTACACTCCCTCCTTGTTTAAATGATCCATCCATACATTAGGTTTTAGCATAAAATTTAAGAAGAGTATAATAGAGGTAATCAATAATATAGAAAAAGTACGAGAGAATGTGAAAAAAAACGTAAAAAAAAAATAAGAGTAATTAAATATTTTAAAGGAAAAATTTAACAAAATGGGAAAGTGTAACAAACATTTAAATACACCCCAAACTAGTGTAACACCTGGGGAATGCCCCGGTGGTGTCTATCACTCTCATAAATATTCAATTACTTTATTATCCAACATCATTTTTTAATACGAAATTCACTAATCCCTACAATTTTTTACTTACTATATACTCCGCAAATATATTAATCATTTTGTTCTTTAAAATTTGAGAAATGTTTTATATATTAGTCTTAATTCAAAAGGTTTGGTTGAAATTTTGTAATATTGATCATCAATTTTTTGCAAATACAGGATAGGTATAGTACATACTCCCTTATATCTATTTTATGACAATTATGTAAACATGATTTTTTCCATTTGTGTAATTTTGATTTGATTTTAAAATATATATTATTATTACTATCATACTATGTAAAATAGTAAGAATATTTTTTATTTTAAAATAGGTATCACTATTTATTTTCTAGAATGATATCATTATTATATATCATTATTGTTATTATTATTATTATTATTATTAGCATCATTATTATCATTATTATGTATTAGGGAAAGTTCCCGAAATAAGACCAAAACAGTTTGAAAATTCCAAAATAGGATTGCCATGTTTTTTATTCTCAAAATAGGAGTGATTACTGCCAAGTTTAGAAAATACTGCCATGTTTGAAGTCTGGTACTGCCAAAACATGGCAGTAATTAGTTCTATTTTGGGAATAAAAACATGTTAGTCCTATTTTGAAATTTTGAAACATTTTTAGTCCTATTTCGGGTAATATCCCTATATATTATTATTATTATTATTATTATTATTATTATTATTATTATTATTATTATTATTATTATTATTATTATTATTATTATTATTACTACTACTGTTGCTGGTGATACTACTGCAACTACTATTATTATGAGACCCCTCTCTTAGAACTTATTATTATTATTATAATTATTATTATTATTATTATTTTATATTCTCAAGTGTTTTTATCTGACCTGTTTGCCCATATGAATTTTATTTTAAGGATTTATGTGTATTATTACACTTCTTCCGTCTCACTATAATTATCCCATTTTTTTTAATTCGTCTCATTAAACTTGTTCCTATTATATTTGGTAATATTTGTATGACCTTAATTCAATCTTACTTTATTCTCACTATATCAATTGATTATCAACCACATAATTCTACTTTTCTTATAAACTGCATTACTCTCCTTTGTCCCAATCTTAGGGGACGGAGGTAGTAAATTATTACTCTCTCTATTCTACATTAAATTATTAACTGCCTCGTATCCATTTTGGGACGTGTTCTACTATTGGTTTCTTTTTCCCATTTTAATAAGTTTTTTAATCAAAATATGTTTATACTCAACTTTATCACCCTTGTCCATTTTTTTTACATACTAATTTTTCTTTCTTACTTTTTGGTTACTTTACTCTTGTTAATATATTCTCTTTCCTATTTATCATCTATCCGGCCTACACTCTCTATACTACCCCTGATATTCTTTCTTCTTTAGAAGTACAAAAACTAAGGGGACTATTAATTAAGAATGGAGGTATTAAAATTATTATTATTGTTATTGTTATTTTTTTAACCCGGTAGTTAAATCACTCAACGGTGGGTCAAATGTAGGGGAGCATTAGTCAACACTCCCTCCGTCCCATTTTAGTTAGCCAAACTTGACTTTTCAAGTCAATAGCGTCTAACTTTGACCGATTATATGTTTATATAGAGAAAATATTAATAATATGAAAATGATACGAAATTGTTCTTTGTTAAAATACTATCATAAAAAACATAAAACTATTAAATTTTGAATAAATATATTAGTTAAAATAATTGATCAAATTTTATCATCTTTGGCTGAAAAAATCAAAGATGACTAAGTAAATTAGGACCGAGGTAAGTATTTTTTATCGTCATTGTTGTAATTTTGTAATCATCATCATCATCATCATCATCATCGTCATCATCATCATCATCATCATCATCATCATCATCATCATCATCATCATCATCATCATCATCATCATCATCATCATCATCATCATCATCATCATCATCATCATCATCATCATCATCATCATCATCATCATCATCATAGAGAGTCCTATTTAGATGCACTTTGCAAATTGCAACATTCAAAATCCGTTGTTGACTTTTGAATAAGCATTAATAATAACATAGAGTCCTATCTTATGTTGTTCCATTAAGTCGGCCGTATGATTTTGAATTTAATAAGTGATGCTAATTAATTTTGTTAACGAACCAATAAGATATTGACATGTCAGCAATTCACAACTCAACTTTACTATTAAAACAATATATAGGAAAGTCAAAGTGTAAGAAACTTTTAAATTTGGAGGGAGTAACTAATTACGGAGCAAGGGTAATGAATAGTGTAGAAAAAGTAGGAAAAAGTGTGTAAAAATATGAAAAAGAAGATAAAAAGTAAGGATAATTGAGTATTTTTACAAGAAAAACTTAGCAAAAGAGAAACTAGACTTGATGGAGAACATTCCATATTCCGGACCAGTTAACTTGCAAAAATCATTTGACGACCTTCCCGATTGAGTTTTTGGCTGAATTGTTTTGTGGATAAACTAGACTTGATGGAGAACATTCCATAAAAATTTCATCAAAAAATTCTACCGGGAAGGCGGCCAAACACCGCCGTCCGGACGGCGGTTCCTGTCCGGAATTCCGGACATGAACTTTTGTGTATATATATATATAGGGGTGAGATCACATACTAACCATTCCTCCCATGCTAACCTACAAACTATCAAAAACGGTGCATCTTTACATTATTTGTACTGCATATTGAAGTTCAAAGTGTTGCATATTATTTGTACTGCATATTAAAGTTCAAAGTTTTGCATATTGTTTTTATTGCATATTGAAATTCACAGTGTGCATCTTTACATTATTTGTACTGCATATTGAAGTTTAATGTGTTGCATATTATTGAGTTAGTAAGTTAGTATTTTAAGCATGGTTAGTATGTGATCTCTTATCTATATATATATATATATATATATATATATATATATATATATATATATATATATATATATATATATATATATATATATATATATATATAGGGAACTCTTCCGGTAAGGTATACCTTACGAGAGCCTCCGTGCGGCCTCCACGTTTTGAGGGCCTTCCCGGTGGAATTTTTCGATGAAATTTTTAGAGCATGTTCTTCATCAAGTCTAGTACATCCATACCAAATTTCAGCAAAAAAATCAATCGGGAAGGCAGTCAAATGATTTGTGGAAGATAACTGCACCCTTTATATACCTATAAAACGCAGTTATCTTTCAAAAATCGTTTGGCTGCCTTCCCGATTGAATTTTTTGCTAAACTTTGGTATGGATGTACTACACTTGATGACGAACATTCTCAAAAAAATTCATCGAAAAATTCCACCGGGAAGGCCCTCAAAACGTTGAGGCCGCACGGCGGCTCCGGTAAGGTATACCTTACCGGAGCGATTTCCTATATATATATATATATATATATATATATATATATATATATAGAGAGAGAGAGAGAGAGAGAGAGAGAGAGAGGACTGCTCAGGTCACTCCGAAGGGCAGTCAAATAAATTCTTGAAACTTACTGCACTTTATATATGCGCAGAATGTGCAGTAAGCTTCAAGAATTTGTTTGACTGCCTTCCCGGTTGAATTTTGAGCTGAAATTTAGTATGGACAAACTAGAATTGATGAGGAACATGCTCAAAAAATTTCATCAAAAAATTCCACCGAGAACCACCCCAAACAGTAAAGTTTGGACGGTCCCTCCCGTCCCTCCGGAGGGACCTGATCTTTTCTGTGTGTGTGTATATATATATATATATATATATATATATATATGTAAATAACTTTAACATTTTTCAAATATATCATATACATTTCTTAAATAATGTATAACTCATATTTTCAGTCTTTCAAATAATGCTCACACCGAAATGTAGGTCTCGTATTTTCAAGTGTGAAATGTCACTCTCACTTGGATGAATTGTGATGTGACATTTAAATGTAACTCACACTAGTACCGGTTCAATTTGATAAACGCGGAGTGTGACACATTCAAATATTGAATGAAAAAAGGTACAAATATATCCATGTAGTATGGATGTAAAAACGAATATACTTCTGTTCTATTTTCGGAACAAATATACCCCTGAGGTATGTATAGAAATGCATATGTATCCCTAAACTTTTAAAGTGTGAAAAAATACTCCTTATATGCATATAAAAGAGCAAATTTACCCTTATTGACTTTAAATTGATAAAATAAACTTCAAAGAACACTAAAAATAAATTATATATTTGAAATTAAAAAATAAAAAATTTTAAAAATGTACTTGTGTCCAATTCTCTCTTTTATTGTTTGTATATCACAATTTAATATTGTCAGCATAAAATCTTATTTCAAAACATTACTATATGTTTAAGATTATTTCTAAAAAATGTTAACATATTCATTGCATGTAAAAATATATTAATTTTTTGCATTCTTTGCAATATGAAATTGCATATTTTGGACGATGATAAATAGTCCAAGATTAGAAAATAGTGAATCTAATTTTATTAAGGTTAAACAAAATCAAAGAATGTTATTTCAGAAAATGTAACAATGTTATTGAAGTGCTTCATTTACAATGAAAAAATAATAATTTTGCAATTTAAAATTAAAGAGTTAATATTTTAATGTAATAAGAAATCTTTGTTTTTCAATTTCAAATTTATAATACAAGTTATTCTAATTCTCTCTCTAGGGTTACCGCCGCTAGAGCTTTTCTTCCGTTTTTGACTTAGTCGAAGTACCCGAAGTACAGACGCCGTCTCTAGGTGGATTCGTTATCGTTTTGGAAGCATCGCTGAGAGTTTGGACGTAATTGTTGATAGGTTAGTGCACGCAGGAGGGGAATTGCATTGGAACGGCCGTAAACTCCTCTTCATAGGAGTCTACCATTTTGTTACTTTGATTCGTTGGCAAAGGCGGAGTATGTGCTGCGATCCAAAGACGTTTATAGATTTTATTTCTGAATGATAGAGTTCTTCTGCACCTCGGACATGGATTTCAATGGCAAATCTCAAGGGGCAAATTGGCGAGAGCAAATTAGCGAGCGCAAGAAGGATAGGGTTTGTGATGAACTTTCCCGAGATTGAAATTCTCTTCTACCATACTACAACAGCTCGCCCTCCTTCGGAACCACCTCCGTGCAATGGCGGACCTGTGGAGGTGCTCGTGAAGATGGAGAGAAATTATTATTTTTATGCTTGTTATTTTGTCATTTTATTTAATCAGTCTTATTTTTGTGTTGTCGTTATTTTTTATTGTAAGACTCTTGCATTAAGATCGGGTGAGATCTGGTCTACTTCAATCGTCTGTGGCTCAGGTTTGCCCGTCAATGGATCAGTGAGTTATATTACGTGTTTGAAGGTGATTAACTCCAAGTCTGGTTCGAGGGCTGACAGTTGTCTGTGATTCCTTACTTATTTTACTCCCTTTCCGAAGGCTAATGCTTTGATTTCAATATAAGCCCCCCTCTTGAAAAAAAATGAATTTATAATTTATTTTTGGTATTTTTTATATTTATTTTATTCATTTAAAGTCAATAAGGGTAAATTTGCTACTTTATAAGAACATGAGAGGTATTTTTGCACGTTTAAAAAGTTCAGGGGTATATATCTACTTCAACATATACTTCAGGGTATATTTGTTCGGAAAAATAGAACAAATGTATATTTGTTATTACACTCATACTAGAAGAGTATATTTGTACCTTTTCCCAATATTGAATTGCTTGGCATGGAAGGCGCATGGTGGATTCCCAAAGTCTATATCAGAATTATCCAGCTTTTCGAGGTATGGGTCATGCCAAAATCACCAATGAAATACGATAGTACGAGGGATGATGATTCGAGTAAATTAGTAGTGAACACAAAAAATTACCATCTACCTCTATATAAAAAGAGGTGGAAAACAGGCTGTTTTCCCGCCTAAATTTTTGTTCTAAAATGGGTCATGTTATATGATTGGGTCGGGTTGCTTAATTAACTGGGTCCAAGAAATTAGATGGACTGCACGAGGTGTCATATTATCTTTTATTATACAAAAGCAAAATAAAGACTGCACAGTGTTCCCGCCCAAACACTGTGCAGTAATGGGCCGGGCCTGTTAAAATGGGTTCAAAAACGGGTCATGCTGCATCTGTTTTTTGCTGCTCAGTGATTTTAAATGTTGGCCCAGTCACCAATGCAGTTTTAGTAGCTCAAGAAAAGGCTCAATGAAATAATGTTGAATGGAGTGCTGCAATTGTAATAAAAAATGGTTGCGACTGTGTGGCTCAAGAAAAAAGTTGGGTGGCTCAAGGAAATAAATGTGGCGTGTATTGAGCTGTAACTTTTTCGGCCTGTACAATTGATGGGACTGCTTTGCACAACGGACCAATGAATTGCTCTTTGAATAAGAAGTATTGAGCTGGCATGTAAACAAACAAATCAATTTTGAAGATCTGGTAGTACGATTTTTCAGATCTAAATATGTTTTAAATTTAAATTTAATATATGGTTGATATGACTCTGCAGTGAGTTGTCTATTCACACATCATGTCATCAAAAAAATGGACAATACATACTATTAACCTTTGGTTAACAGAGGATAGTATAAAAGGCACACTGCCGATTGAAGTATAAATACAACCGGGATTCAAGAGCATTACACATCAATGCAATTGCATAGAGAGGGAGAGTTAAACCTTGAATGGGCCATTGAGGTTGCCCTATTACAACTCTTTTAATATATTAAGATGCAGATATTTCATGTGCATACATATGCATTTACTAATATCGATGGAGATGACATACATATGCATCATCAGCTAACACTCTATAGATATTCCATCACAGGGATGTGTAAGCCTTATAAGATGTCTTTGTAAATTCAGATATGTTAATTAGTAATTCGTTATTTTTTGCAAGTAATATACATTCTAAAAATGATTGGGAAAGACGAATTCCACAACAAGCACTCAGAACAGAAGAATTATTTGAATCCACGGTTTATGCATAGTATTTGAAAAATGAAAAATATATTATTCCATATAATTTAGAGTTCTCAAAAGTGCTAATAAATTATTTTAGCTTTTTGTGTTAGATTATTAGCCTAAAAGTAGAAATATTTTAAACAAACAAGAGTCACTGAAAAAATAAACATATTTTCATACCTGCCATTGAAGCTCCTCAAAACTTTTAACCTGCATATCCTATTTTAATCTAATTAAATAGTACATGATTGGCAACCTTATTAAGGTCCCATAACCTATTAATTATACATTTTCTATTCTATGATCTAATAACTGAAAATAAGAAAAAGACATCTTGGTAACGAAACCTGCAAGATTTATGGTGAATAAGATGACAGAATAAGAAAACTTTAATTACAATATTTCTAATTGTTAATCTGTATTTTTAATGCTCCACAAATTTATTACCGAAAACTAGAAATAGTACAATCAAGTTTTAGTATCAAGGAAGAAATAATTATATTATAAAATATCAACTATGAATACATAAAACTCTATGGAGGTAAATACCATGAGGTTATTAGTTATTAGATTTACATATTTTGTTTTCAATGTCTATAAAAATAGGTCAGTGGTTATTGTTGGCATAAGATCAGAAAACGAACATATTGAAACCAACAATATTTTTTTGAATAACACAAATCTAATAAGCCTTGGCCAGATTGTGGAAAAATGTGTAGCCATTTTAGGAAAATGGCATACGAGTTATATCTTATTGATTTTACATATTCCAGGTTTGAAAAGCTCAAATAATTTTGAAAGCTGGTAATGGTCTGTGGGGGCATAGTTTAAACTAATTTTGTTCTCTTAATCAAGTTAGTTATAACAAGGTTCTAATAAAACTGAATTATAAGAAAGGATGATTTGTTTCCAACATTACAAATTGAAAAATGTTTTTACCAACAATTGTTAATAAAAACTTTTAACTGGGCCTTAATAGGGCAACTAAAGTTCACAGAAGGTTTGTATCAACTAAAAAATGTCTAAATTATTTTTTTCAAAAACATGAGAAAGTAAACACCTTTTTTATAAAAAAAAATATTAGACTTTATAACCTCATACCACCTTTAAGAAGAGTTGATGAACACTTAGAAGCATGTTTCATGAAATATCATAGAATAGGACATACACATGTTTAAACGTATAAATCATTTAACACAAAATACATAGTGTGTTAAATCCAGATATTCACAACTGTTTGCATTTTAAAACCAATGGGTATACATAATTTTCACACGTTTATATAATTTAAAGATCTGGGTAGATTTATATATCCATAAGCAAGAATATATGGGTTAAATACGTAAAACTGTTAAAGATGTTTTTGTTGAAATAATACAGATTTAATATACCACACAAATCAGTAAACCATGTACGTTTATGCCAACTGGATGCCTTAAAATAGCTATGATTTGATTCCCAGATAAGGTAATAAAAACAGATTAAATTCTTTTTATAAAAGTTATGCTTTTAAAATTATGAGTCAAGTAGAATGTATGACATAGATACTGCATATCTCACTTTCAAGATATATGAGTATACATATGTCACTTATGTCATACATATTTACTTTTCGGACCATATTTGCCATGTTTTGAGTATCTATGTTAATAAAAACAGATATAATCTGTACATCAATAGAATCATGCCACGAAAAGATAGATTCGGAAATTTTTTGTTGTTTTAAAATAGTCAAGCGGACAAACCAAGATCAAATTGAAAACCATTTTCGAAAAAAAACAAGGTCAAACATGATACAAACATAATAAATGGTAAACATGCGAACACGGGCAAAGATGGATGTAAAGGAGATACCCAAAACAGTAGGCTATTGTAAGTTATGGTCTCAGATCCATCTATTTGCTCTCAGCCGGGCATATAAGGGGCTAACCAACAACAAATATAGAACCAACCACATTATTGAGCCATCAAAAAGGTCAGATAAGAGGATAACAACTATGGCTTTGAGATGGTCGGATAAGGGGCCAAACCAACAACAATCACATGGCTCTAAGAAGAAAAATCGAGTGGAAAGTCATGAAGGCCATATCGAGAGGTTATCACCTGGTCTGGTGGGGTGTGTTGTGTACGAATGAAAGAAACGGCGGAAGGTAAATACGATGTACATATAGTGGTAGTTAGGTTAAATAGTTGGGTGGGTTTAAATGGAAATATAAGTTGGGCTGGGCTCATGGGTTAATAAAACAAATGGCCTCGACTTCCAAAATTAAGACTTAAGGAGTATTAGTTGGTAATTTCGTATTAGTTAGTTGTATTTGCTCAAATGAAATATTTATATGGAGCCCGTTTGGTGACTCTGTTTTTTGACTTATCAGGCTTATCAATACGTAACTTTTGATTTCACGCGTTGAATTTTGTAATAATAATAAAAATTAAGGATGAAGTTACTTTTCTGGCTATATTGACCGAAGTTACTGTAGATGACCATTTTTGCTATTTGTTCATGTAATTTTTCTTTATTTTATTAATAAAGTATAATTTAAATATAATTTTTTTCAGAAATCAACAAAATCAACCAATACAACCACTTTAACATAATTTCTTCAATTCAAATATAAAAAGTACATGGTATTTGACAAACAAGTAAGGTTGTCCAGCTTCTCTTTAATATGTGTTAGCTTCACATTTTGTCTGATTGTCTGATTTTTCGAGTGCTTTGAAAATATTGATTTACAGTGAATATGGCAAACAAATTGACCATACTATGAATGTGGGTTGTAAAGAATTGTTTCGAAATATGTAGACTTCGGAAACCTTATTATAATTTTTATTTCTTCTTATCCCAAAACATACTTCGTACCAGTTATGATTTGTAACTACTTTTTGCTTCATTAAAATTTTATTTGTGTATTATGTCTACTAATTACATCCACTTACATGTTACTAATAATGTTAAGAAATACTACCCCGTATCATAAGAATATGACTTAATTTATGCCCCGTGCATCGCACGGGTGAGAATCTAGTTACATTAAAATGACTAAAAATCTTTGAGGACAGAGGCCTTTGTTACTGGATGTCTTTAATTGCAAGATCACATTAAATAGAGTTGGCATTTATCTTAAAACCATTTTAGGACATTCCGTATTGTTGTAGTGCACTAGATCATTCTTTATGGAGAATTCTGGATAAAACACGTTCTGGGTCGACGAATATTTAATGCTCTGAAGCCGCCGTTTCCAGTTTTACATATCTCAGTGCATGTTTTGTCTGCCTTTTAATATTCCAACGCCAATGTAGTACAAATAAGGATGTTCACAATGCTGAATTATTCCAATTCTAATTCTATTCTAATTCGTTGAATTAGAAAAAGCATTACATGCTACAGCCTAGCGTTTCCAACTTTACGATTCTCAACATATTTTTTCGTTTATCAGTGCATGTTTTATATTAATTGTCACTACCTATTAAATTAGTTATTTTTTTTGGCATAGTAACTGTATTTGAGAGTTCTGAAGCTATCTTTACCTATTCGTATTCCACTTTGTGTATCTGTATATATATAGCTTCAGTGTCCAGGGCCAATGTTCACACATGCAAATAACATGCTTATTTCTGTAGTGCAGAATTTTGCCATTTTTATATGACAATATGAAGGCATGCATATGTGGAGTTCGATTAAGGACTCACTCAAGAGAAGCAACGTTTCACATCTTCTTCATGGATCACAATTCATGTGTCTTTGGTTGTCATATATATAAAACTCATTGAGATATCATGTACATGAAAATGAAGCTAATTTTTTGAAGAAAAAAATCTGAAAAGTGCATGTACTTATATATCTGGCTATCTGCGTTTCGACCGACTTAGAGAGAAATTACTCGGGAGGTTGGCTGGAGACACAGAAGATGCTCGAAGTTAGAAGACAAAAGGGCTGAGTATGTTGGCTGGAGAAACCTGGGCAAGATCCTTAGTACGTAGTACTCCCTCCGTACCAAATTGTTTTGCAAAGTCAACATTTTTTGGTCAACCAATAATAAAAGTCAATGCTCCGTATGGATAATTAATTCAATTTTTAATAATTAAATTTTACATATTCATAAACTACATTAAAATTTCTTCAAAGTTGAAAACTCCAAATTAAAATATAATTAAAAATTGACACCTTAATTAAGTGAACAAAACGAAACTCTTTGACCAAGAAAAGTCAAATTTGCAAATCAATTTGGGACGGAGGTAGTATAATTTATATGAAGACACGAAGTACTTCCTATATATGAATAGTGTTCGGTTATTTCTAATGGGCTCCTTATGTTATAGACCAAGAATGCTTTTTGGAGTTTTTAATTTATCAGCTCGCAGACAATATGCTACTTTAAATTAGTTGGATGAACACTTCTATATATATTTTGTTTTTTATTCCTAAATAGATATTATGCCATACATTTTGAATGATGAGGTATTTAGGACTACATATGAATTTTACTCTCTCGCTGTCTCATTTTATCTACTTTAATTTTCTTTTTGAATTATCTCAAAATAGATGTCATAATTCTTTTTTGGAAAAAATATGTGATCTATAATATTTCACTTTAATAATAATTATTTATAATTAAAGTATGACACATAAATGGAATGAGGTAGTACATTTCTTAGAACTTTTTTAAATGATGATGAGTTTTTTTTGTTAACAAATTTGATTTACAAATTTTGTAGAATTGGTAATAATTTTCATTTTGAGCCTCCCAAAAGATCTCGCACTTTACCGGTGTTGTACTCCCTCCGTATTTTAATGTTCACTACATTTGATATGGCACATTATTTAAGGAGTAGAGTATTAGGGGTAATGAATACCCTAGAAAAAGTATGACCAGAATGTGTATAAATATGAAATCGAAGATAAAAAATAGAAAAAATAAAGGTGGTTGAGTATTTTATAAAGGGTAAACTTACAAAAAAATGGAAGTGTAGTAAACTTTTAAATTCATCCCAAAAAAGAAAGTATAGCAAACATTAAAATAAGAAGGGAGTATCATATAATGATTTTCTTACTAACGTAATTTTCCAAAAAAAATTAATTTTTAATTTCAGATTCAAGTTTTTATCAATATATCAAAGTATTTGCTTATAAGTTGTTCAATTTTTTTCCTTAATAGGGTCTAACCGTCTAAGAAGAATAAACTAGAATTATTAAGATTTGAAAAGGAAGATAGCTAGTTCCATATTTAAGAAGCAAGGTAATCAAGTCAGAGACAATCTCTTTCTCACTACACGTTATATTATTGTTGCCGAAGCAAGTCTTTGATCCTGGACAATTTTATGCTGCAGTTTTCAGGGGTTACAAACTTGAAAGGATAGAAAATTTTAACTGTAGACATGAAAAAAAGAGGGGGAATTTGACTTTGCACCCCACTTTTTGGGTGATATTGGACTTTACACCCTATTTTGAAAAAACTTTGATTTTGCACCCCAACACATAACATTTTGTGAAGAAAAATTAACGAAGGGGGTGCAAAGTCAAAGGATTTTTAAGTGAATTGGGGTGCAAATTCAAAGTTTTTTTAAAATGGGGTGCAAAGTTCAATATCACCCAAAAACTGGGGTGCAAAGTCAAATTCTCCCTAAAAAAAACTACAAATGAGTTAATAAGTGTTATGTATAAAGAAGTGTTTCAATATCCTTAAATTTTGTATGTTATTTTTTGTTCTCAAAATTTTCAAAGTGTGTTATTTAGAGATTTTAATTGTCTTATTTTCATTTTTACATTTACATATTACTTGGGTTAAATATTTTGGCCGTGAATCGCACGGGTGGGAATACTAGTCTTCACTACCAAGAACAAATATTAGGAGGCCGTTTGGTAACACTAAAATTGGTTGAATTGACTGATTGTGCTGAAATTTATGAAGTTCTGTTTGAAGTGACTGTATTGGCAGATTCAGGTGATTCATGAAAAAAATTATATTTAAAATATTTGTTATTAATAAATAACATAAAAAATTATATGAAAAATAGTTAAAATGATCCTCTAAGATAACTTCAGCCAATACAATCAGAAAAGTAAGCCAAATGGAACCTGGAACGCCCTGGAATTTGAATTACATGAGCACAAATGACAAAGGAGTATACCGTATACGAAGTATATTCTGTACGATAATTTCGAATTACAAAAGCACACATGACAAGAGAACAGTGGAAAAATTATTGAATTAAATAAAGCAAACAAAAACTGTTACCGCCGTCTGTGGGAATCGAACCCACGACCACGTGGTTAAAAGCCACGCGCTCTACCAGCTGAGCTAAGACGGCAATTTACTTCATTTATCGTCATATTAATATTAAAATAAAGTTTAAGCGGTAATGGAAAACGACTGACAAAATTTGTATTGCGGTAATGGAAAACGACTGACAAAATGATTTTTTTTTTTTTTGAAGAAGAAAACTACTCTAGTGCAATTAAAACTAAATGATTTTTTAATAGATTTTAAATGGATCTTCAAAAAAAGGAGTTTAAATGGAAAACATAAAATTATACCCCTGTCTGACAAAATTTTGTGATATTTTCTTATTTCGCCACTGAAAAAACATTGTTTTTCCATTAAAATATAGCACTCTCCACTCTTTTAAGCTTGTCTAATTTTTCTAATTTGGTCACAATCTCACTTACGAAGTGTTTGCAATAGCTTGTGCTTTACAAAAATCACTTTTAAAGTGATTTTGCAAAAAAATGCTTAATACTCCGTTGTAAAAGTTCATAGTGTTTGAGGAAAAAATGTTTTTGAAAAGTAAAAGTTGGTTGAGGAAAAATAAAATGTGTGATTTTTGTGTAAAAGAAAAAGTAAAAACAAATTTTAACTTTTAACTTTTTAGTGTTTTATTTAAGCAAAAGTTGCCACTTTAAAACACGCATTTTAACTTTTATGCCAGAAGTCAAAAAACATTTTTTTTAAATGTTTGCAAACACTCTTAAGAGTCCAAGCGCAAAGTCAAAGATAAAGAATGACTGACAGACCGTTTACCAGCCACTCCTATAGTTGATGCCTTGATGGATTACAATGGTCACTTTCACGATAGTTTGAAAATTAAAAGTAGAAAATTTTATAGAACGAGTACTAAAAGTGAAAAAGGCTTAAAAGTGAGTATAAATAG